CCGTGGCTCAATATAAGGTGTACATTCCCCCAAGCTCCTTGATGTTACGTATCAACCAGCCTCTGCTCACAATGGCCAGCAATTTAACCTTCCCAGGCCATCCGGCCAACATCTCGCAGATCCCCTCCGCATTTGCGATCCACGACAACAGATTCTTCAATATTATCGGCTCGGCTCCTAAGCTGGAGGTCCTTTTCAAGAACGATGATGTCCCCTTTGCGCACGAAGCGAGCGTCTTTATCCCCTCTACCGACGAGCTATTCCTGAGCAGCAACTTCTTCACCGACCCCATCACGAACCATTTAACGATTCAAATTTCCAAAGTCAAGGTCAACGCTCAGCCGGTTACCAGTGAAGTTATCAAAACTACTATCCCAATGGCGAACGGAGCGGTAAACTATGGCGACGGGATCCTCTTCTGCGGCCAAGGAAACCAAACCGAAACGAGCGGCTTATACCAGATGTCAATTGAATCTCCGTACGAGGCAGAGCTACTTGTTAGTGGCTTTCACGGTCAGCAATTCAACTCACCCAATGACGTGGTCGTGCATAGTGATGGGTCAATATGGTTTACCGATCCGATCTACGGTTCGAAACAGGGGTTTCGCCCAAAGCCGCAGTTGCCGAATCAAGTCTATCGGTTTGATCCTGTCACAGAGAACGTGCGAGTCGTCGCTGACGGATTCGGTCGGCCGAACGGTATTGCTTTCTCGCCGGATGAGAAGACGGTGTATATCACTGATACGGGGTCTACTCTGGGTGATGGCACCAATGATCCCACGGGGCCGTCCACCATGTATGTTAATCTCCTTATCCAGCCATCCAACCCAACTTTCCCTTCTAACTGCCTGTATTAGCTACGCTTTTGACGTGTCTATCCTCAACGGGGAACAGTTCCTCACCAATCGGCGTCTTTTCGCCATGGCTGATACCGGTGTCCCTGATGGAATTAAGCTGGATATGGATGGCAACGTTTATGCTGGCTGTGGCGATGGCGTCAACGTCTGGTCGCCAGGTGGCGTCCTGCTGGGAAAGATTCGGATCAAAGATGGAGCGGCTAACTTTTCCTTTGGCCGTAATGGCCAAATGTTTATTCTTAGCGAGAATACGCTCTGGACTGCTCAGCTGAGTCGTGCCGTGAAGGGTGCCCTACTGAAGATTTGAGAGGGACTCAGAATCCAGTCAAGGATCGCTCACTAATGTAGTATTAATATAGATCGATAATTGTGTAAGCATATGACATTGTAGCATTGCAGCCTTTTAACAATTGGCGCCACACTATGTATCTTGAAGTAAAAGTTGAGTATCCGAACCAGGCATTTTTGGCCAATAAACACGACATTAACTTGCTTCTTTCCACATCACCACAAAATAGTAGAACCGAAGTTTTCATGAAGGCCTAGATTGAGGGCTGAAGTTGAAAATGCTAGACCCCATACTAGCCTCCACTGTATAGTGATCGCAAGAGGAAACAAACCGAGACTCTAGATCAAGGCAAACACCTCCTCTCGGCCCAGCGCCTTTTCACTCTTACAGTCCACCAGTGCCTCTCCATCCATTTTACCATGAACATAAGCTTCACCGATCATCTTAAAGCAGGGCTGCCCTGCTCTTTTTGAGGATTCTCGTAAGATCAGCGGGACACTGCAACCATACAAGATGCAGATGAAGTCCCCTCGTTTGGTGCCTGGCGGACAGAGTCCAAAAAGACCATTGTCAGCCCTAGAATCTCTTTCCTCCCCGCCCAGGCTCTCAGTAGTTTCCTCGTTGGATACCGACTCTGCATCTGCTGTAAAGCGTGATGTTGGCACCTTGCCTGAGCTTTCCGGGGTTTCCTTTCCCTGAGTAACATCCCCTTGGGCAGCTTTCATCACTGCCCGGAAGAACCTCCTGTTCCACGTAATATTGCGGACTCGCGTGAGGTAGCCCCGAAGCATATCGGATGGACCTTGCAGTAACTGACCGACGTTGAGATCGCCATTATTAAAGGTATCGGCAATCTCTAAGCATCGCAGACACGCTCTTTGATACCAGGCCGGTGGGATTTGACCTTCAGAGTCTCTATCTGCTATCAGCGTCCGCCATATGTGGTCTGGTACACTTTCAGGGCTCTTGTTAATGCCTGGCCAGCCACCTATGTCCCGTAGGGATGTTCGTGGAATTAGGCCTGGTGCATTTACCAATGATACATGCTCAATGCTGGCTAGCTTGAACCCCTTGGCCCTTAGGATAGATGGCGTGTCTGGGATAAGTTTCAGCTCAGACGATGCCGTCTCCGTTTGTGCATGCAGTGGCGAACTGCCCTTTTGGTGAGAGCCATGTCCATCTATTTCGGATGTTACCGGCTCATACTGCGTACCACCAGAGGCGTTATAGCGGGATTGGCCAACGGGCCCTACCAGAGACTCTCCATTCTTCCGCCCGTCATAGACCTCTTCTGGCTCGCCGAACTCGGAATCACGGAGAAGCCGAATCCATGAGGGTAAGGGTCCTTTTGCGGCCTTCGGTGGCATGGCCCAAGAGCGGCAAATGATATCCAGCGATTTTGAAGTCTCGATACAGTATCTAGTGAAGTTCTGGTAAACTTCAATCTCGTCTAGTCGGTAATCAATGACGAGTTGATGGGATGTTGTTTGTTGCTCGGGCTCCTTCTTATCGACATACGCAGCAACGTCTCGTGTATCGCGGGCGATGGACACAAGGCTGTACACAATATCACGCGGGTCGGTAGTGTCAAAAGTATTTAGAGAGGTAACTAGAGCCTCGATTCCCTTGAGAGGTCGAAGGATTTCACCACTTGGTGTTCGTAAAAACAGCCTGCTTGTTGCTTCAAGCAGAATGCTTGCCCCGAACGACTGGACTTCTCCTAACGTCTGCGGACCCTCCTTCCAAGTTTCAAAATCAAACAACTCTCTAATCTTATCCCGAGTTGCTACAAAAATCGAAACTGCGTCCGCAAATTCGGCCCATTGCACGGTCTTGGTACCGCAGTGCACTGCTGCCGACTTCGCCAGTGAGATCTCCTGAACTACCCAACGACGAGAGAACCAGCGGTCTCTCATAAGCTCGGCCAGAGCATACCAGTTCCCAGCTTGTCCCTTGTCGTTCGCTAACCTCTCGAGAAAAGCGAAGTCCATAATCTTTGTGATAAACTCCATCGCGCGATCACTTCTCCCTTCGCTATCTGCCTCACCGAGCCACACACACACATGGTTCGCCATCCGGTAGATGGCGGCCATTTGCTGGAGTTGCTCTGTCTTCTCCTTTTGGTCCTCCTGGTTGATGCATATTGCGTCGGCCCATAGAGCGACCGGTACGTCCTTTCTTCGTAATCGAAGCAATGCCTGGAAGAGGTTCTTCCGAATTGGCATCTCTTTGGCGTGTCGTGCAACATATTTCCACTTGGTGGCCTTCTGCTTAGAGCCCGGGAAGACCAACAGTCGACGCTGGTCCAAATCGGTCCCCCAGCAATACGAAAGTGCAGCATAGTTGAGGCTGCGGCCTTCATTAAGGGATCTAGCCTGAAGTGTACAGACAAGAGGAGAGGATGTGTTCTTCGCGGGATGTAGAACAAGGATCCTGAGTTGACCGGGTTCAATCGCATCATATGAGAACTGAGCTTGCCGCGTGCCGTTGTAAGGCTTTGCACCGTTGGACGAAACCCTGGCCTTTGTCTTCCGTGGAATAGACCGTTCCAGGTACAACTCCCTCGCAAACACGTCTCGTATGGCCTTCGCGTGAAGTACCCTCTTTCTGATTTTCTCGGCCTTGATCAGCCTTTCTCCTATGTTCATCCAGGCGCGCTGTACTCTCTTTTCTTTGAGTACTGATGATCGTTGTCGTCGTGCTCTCATCTCTTCTGGTGTGTATCCAGGACTGTCATCTTCTTGTATTGTTTTGCTTACGTGGCGATCCTCCGGTGCCTTTTCCAGCAACTTCTCTGCGTCGACTATTGTCTGTAGGTTGTGATCCTCCAGCGCCTTGATAAGTACATTCTCCACATCGCTCACCTTGTCTCTTTTCTCTTCGCTTAACTTGCTCTCTTTCTTCTCCCATTGGATTATGTCTGGCAATCCCTGAACTTCAAGATCCCTCCCTAGGGATTTCAATCGATTGAGATTCCTGACTCGTCTGTCACGAAGCTTCGCCAATGTCTCATTTGCTTGCTCCACATGTTTGGGAAGCCCCTGACTCCTCCCCCAAGCGCTGTCCCGATCAGGGTCCCGAAAAGCCAAACGACTAGTCTCGACTTTAGTCTTCTCAGGCAAGAGCGGCAACGAGGTCCGCTTCCCCCGAGCCCCAGGCGTAGAGGAGGTCTTGTTCCCGCCGGGAGCTTCAGGGGAGTCGGAAGCATCGCTAGAATCTGACGGATCTGATAGATTCTCCGAGTCAGATGACTCCGTTAGAGGCGAGTCCGATTGGGGCGTGATAGTCACAATGGAGCGACTGGAGCGGGTACGATATGGTGATGCCAACATCTTTCCAACGGGTATAGCTTCACAGCCAAACTTGCAAAGGATGAACAGTTAGAAAAATGGCTGACTTCCGGCTGAAAGGGCATTGTCATGAGGGGTAGCTGTGCGGCTTAGCCTCAATTTGTAGGATTCAGTTGCTCTAATGCAAGCCAGTGTTTAGTCGTGAATGTGGGGTGGCTGTGCTGACGATTCATTGGGTAGGGTTTGTCTTGATACGGGTCGTTTGCATCTCAAGTCGGAGCATGCAAATAAGACTTGTTGGGGTTGGTCTGTCTGCTCACGGCTTTGGTCCCAATGTAATCCTATTTCAAAGGATGTTTATGATTGAGAAAGGTATCGTGGAATAAACATGTTGAACTGCAAAGATAATTGAATTCAGGCGTCCAATCTTCTATCGCTTGAAATTCCAAATCGGCCTATTTACGCTGGCAGCCCGACCGTACAGCAACTGCCAAGTCCAACGCTAACTATGTACTATACAAAGAGTCACGACTCAACAACTTCGTTATCCTTCCAGTGCCATCATTAAATATGCGAGTTCCGGCAGCACTCCGACTGCACGACGCGAGAGGCCGCATTCTTGCCGGACGGCACATCAATCGCCGGGTTTTCGGTGAAGAAATCTGATGGGCGGATCATGAGCTGGAAGATCTCGACTGGCCTGTTTATCTGTTAGCATGAAATTTCCACGGATAGGGAGCAGAGTCAACTTACATAACGGGCCAGTCCTCCACACGAGGGTTATGAGTGATACCGAACGTGCTCCACACAACGACATCCGTGTTATCGACGGCCTCTCCTCGCTTAACGGCGTCGGCCACACCGTCCACCTCGACCTGGCTCTGCAGTGTGTAGCGACCGCCAGCATACAGCTCGGCATCCCGGTACTTGGTAACCCAGACATGGTGCTGGGCAAACTGGGCCCGGCGCGCCTGGATGGAGTTCGGGTCCGCCAGGAGCGTCTGGGTGGCCAGAGGGGTGAATTTATAAGCCACAGGCTTCTGGCTGATGGGGTTGGTCTTGTTCGGGTTGACCATCTTGACCACTCGGTTCAGCTGCGGCGCGGCATCCAGATACGTGGCGCGCTCGATCGTCTGATTCGTAACCCTGTAGAAGTTACCGTTGGGGTTGGTGGCTTCGTTCATGGGCACGGGATGGGACTCCTCGATGACAACGGAGTTGTTCGCCCCGTCCACGGCCGGATCCATACGGACACAGAAAATGTGCTGATGGTTCTGCGCCAGAACACCTCCACTGACCACGTTTCCGTAATCGCTCGTCTTGCCCGGGTCAATGTTGACCACGTTCAGAATACCCGTGGCCCGCGACTCGACCGTGATGCCGCCGGCTTGGTCGAACTTGTAGGCGAAAATGTACTCGTAGTTGGCGAGGGTGATGATAAACTGCACGACGAGCTCCCGGTGGCGTGTCACGACAGCGCGGCCCGTCCGCCAGTTGGAATGCTTCCAGCCAATGCCGTTGTCCTGCTCGTGGAGGCAGATGGCGTTGGGTAGCTTCTGGGCCTTTCCGTCCGCACCGGTGATCACGGCATCGAAGTACTTGATGACACCCAGGCAGTCGCAGCCAATCGACAGGTTGTTGGCCATGTTCCCGCCGCCACCATCACCGAAATCGAAAGCCTGCTTACGATGGTATGGGGGCCGGGGATCGGCGTATGGGACCGTCTGCTACTGTCAGTACTTGCGTAGGCGTGAGATTAAAATCGGTTCACTCACCATCTCACTGATAGCCAATCGGTACATGACACTGCGGCCGTCGTACCAGACATCGTGGATCGTCGCACCCTCGCGCGGGTTGAAGGCGACACGGAAGCGCCACTTCTGCCATTCCACGAGCGATTCGTTGGTGATCTTAAACGAAGGGCCTTCAGGCTGCACCACGTTCAGGGGCTTCAAGTCTTTCCGGCTTCCGTTTGGAAGCAGCTCGGGCACATAGTCGGAGTCCTTGCAATGGCCGATGATGTCCCGGGAGAAGGTCTGCTCGTGCAATCCCTCGCCCTTACCGCCGGTCGCGGGACGGTCAATGCGGACGATTTCCTGGGTGACGGCGTCCATCACCGGGATGATGGGCAGGGGGTAAGAGTAGAAGTTCGCATCTGCGTTGTTCTTGGCGGCGTTTGTGGCAAAGCACAGGGCCTGGAAGAACCGCCGGTTGGGGTCGGAATAGTCTCGTCCACCGTATGGCCACGGCTCAATGACAACCTCGAAGCCCTTGGGGAGGTCGAAATCGGCCATTGCTTTCTGGAACAATGGGGAGGCGTGACAGCGCTCGACCAAGACGTCGAACTCGGCCCTGTCAGTTCAGGTTAGCCATCTGTTGACAATGTATGAGTCCGGCCGAGACGTACAGAGTCAAGGCAGCATGATGCTCCTTGCCGATAATCTTGTGCTGCACGCGCTTGCGGGTGTTCACATCGATCTCCGCCTCTTGATAGACGGGAATGCGGTCGCCGCTGATCACGTCGTACTGACACAAGGCCAGACGAGCGGGACGAGGAGTAGTCGGACTGAGACGTCCCGCATGTTCCAGAGCCAGGAACTCTTGTAGTTGCTCCTTGGGGGGTTCCGACAAGTAGATCTCGCGGAAGTGAAGGACTGTATTCGGGTGGGCAGCGACCACGACGTCGCGGGCAATGTTTGTCTCCTCCTCGGAGAGAATGGCCAGGGGATGAGGCGCCATGGTAAATGTGAATGTGATGAGAGTCTGAAGAAGACAGAGGACAAGAAGTAGGGCGAGGCGCGCTTAATATGCTTGAAGTCAGCGTAACAATTTCCAGATCGAGATAAGCCCACATATGGCTGCTCGGAACGTCGGAATGCAGTCCGACGGTTTCCTTCGGCGCGCGCGGAATCCTTCCTTGGAAACCCCGCAGATTGGCACCGTTGCCTTATCGATCTGATACGCCATTGATGCATAGCTTAACTATGGAGCATGTCATTCCCTGGTAGTACCCTTCGTATTTCTGACAGGGACAGGGGCTCCGTGGAATTTCCTTATCCTCGGCCCCCGAACCCCTCTCTTAGTCAGATGTATACTTTTGTATCATTGGTGTTGCACTTTACTTATCATTCGTAGCTGTGGCTAATATATATTCTCAATGACCTTGGCCATATATGCGTCATGAGTTGTACATCAGAGGGCGTCCTACCTACAGAGTCTTCATGATTTTGGTTCTTCTCCTAGCCGACTGGTTGATTATGTCCAATATCATTTATCGCGCGTGAAAGATAACAACAACAAAAAAACCCCAACAGAATCGACATATAATCTCTGTATAACCTTGGTTATGTCATTCCAATATGACTCTAGAATATAGACTATAAACAGAAACAATTCTTAACATGTCGTGTCCAGCAGTCCATGCCTAATGATATGACTAGTGTATTCCGTGAATCACTACCAACAACAGGACACAGATTAGCACCACCCTGGAATATAATGCGAAACCTTTTCTAGTCAACTTACAGCCCAGGCAAGCGCGCCACGGTCGTTCTTGACGTGTTCAGCCAAGTTGAAGCTCCTCGGCGTTGCCCAATTTCCATATTGGTCTTGAAGCCATCCTGCGGTCAACCAAGGAACACCGTCCCGGAATTCTAAACTGACATTCTTCGCGGTTTGGGTGAAGTTCTTGCCTGGAAAACAGAACTGACCTAAAGATATCAAAAGTATTCTCGGTCAGAAATAATCATGACGGCGGCTCAAGATCGATAATCCATACCATTGTGATTACCAATTTGCTCGTCAAGAAATAGCACCCAGCGATCCCCCGCAGAAGCATCCTCATCATCTGTCTCAACGACGGCAGAGAGCATGGCCTGACCCTCATAGGGCTCGAGACGAATATCTTTACAGGACTTATGAAAAGACATGCTGGTTTTCTCTGTGAAAGACTTTGGTACGGGGAGAAAGAGAAAATCGTACAAAGGGCTGATGTGAAGGAAGGGAAATTCCACCGGGGGGCAGCCAGATTTAAAAATGGGGACTTAGATCGTGCAAAAAGATCGTGTTGTTGATGCCTCGCATATCGATCATGATTGGGAACCACTGTACTGTACCAAGAGGGGAGGGAGGGAGGCTACGATGTTTTCGACCATCCATACTGGACCAGATTCGTAAAATGGAAATGATAGACAACCATCCCCACGGGGATCATCTCAATCTGTTCAGCTGCCCCGTCATTCAGCTCAGTCACCGCAGATTGACTCCCTAAATCATTTCGCTCTCGGCCTCACCGAGTTTAATGGAAAAGAAAGGGAAAAGAAAAGCCAAAAGAGCTGACACAGAATTTCTAAATTCGGCTTAGCCGTGGTTACCCTGGGGGTGTATCATTTGCATAAGACTATAGACTATAAATAAAAATACTGATCAAGATGATGTCCAGCAGTCTCTATCTAACAATATAACTGGTATATGCCTCCAATTACTGTCAAGGGAAGGTCACAGGTTAGCACAACAACATTAGAATCAGACTCGAAAGGACCTCGGATTTATATCCAACTTACAATAAAGACAAGTTGGCCACCCTGGTTCTCGATGTGTTCGGACAAGTTGATGCCCTGACGCTCTCTCTCATCTCCACCGGCAGTTGGAAGATCTGCCTCTAACCAAACCCCATCGTCCCGGAATGACAGCGCAATGTTTTCAGCGCTGTCTGTGAAATTGGCGCCTTCCCGACTGAAGTAACCTAAATACATCGGAACAATGCTTGATTAGAGATGATCATCATAGCCTCTCAAGATCTGAAACTTACCATCGCTATTGCTGATTCCCTCATCAAGATTTAATTCGGCGGGAACATACTCATCGTCACCGACTCCAGCTCCGGCAAGGAGTACAGTATAACCGTCACGGACTTCGATACGAATGTCCATGCAAGATTCGTGGAAAGACATGGTGGTTTTCTGTTTGAAATTTAAGATCAGGAGAGAGGATAAGATGAAAGAAGAAGGAAAGCAATTCCAACAGGGCCACGAGATTTAAATACCCAGGGCCCATTCTACGAGGGGTAGTACTGTACAGAGGACTTGGCTGCTTGGCTTCCACTTCATCAACGCCCCACCATTCAGCTGCCCCACTATTGAGCTCCATCAGCTGCATAGTATCTGATAATCAGGACTCAGAAGGTTTCATATGTGATCTGCCTAAACACAGCCAGTGCAGATCACTGCCTTGAATTATTTCTCTCAGAGTGACCCAAGTTCCCCACATGGTTGCGCACTCCAAGGGAGGATAGACATCCTTACAGCATACGTCAGGTCCCAACTGCATCAGAACATAGATTAGCGGACACTAGACTATTGGTCTTCAAAATTAGGACTTTATCTAGAATGTCAGGAGCCTCTCCCAGTGTTAATATAGATCTTGATCAAGATACTATTTAAAGTATGTTATTTCCTTTTGAGTCGGTGGTGCAGAGACTTAGTGTGCCGGTGGCAGCTCCCGAAGTCTCAAACAGATAGAGAAGTCGATCCAACGTCCAACAGTCGCGTGCTGGAACAATGGTCCAGACCACCAAAATTCTAATATCAAGAAAGGCCAGCATCCAGCTGTCATAAAATCAACCCTTCAACTATATCTAGCATCAAGCTGTCAGCTTATGAAGACCTGGAAGCGAAAAGCGATATACAATTCATCCATACCCACTGAATCCTGCCAGGCCATAACATATCTAGAATGCATTTTACAGACACGCCAACAGAATCTGTATCTTGCAAAGTTCATTTTCTGTCTCTCCGGTCAGAGGAGTACATCGACCTAAGTGTGAATCCAAGTGGAGGGAGGAGCTATGTTAGATCGCGTCACGTGATTAATAGATGAGTATAGCAGCAAACACCTAGGTAGACGAAGCTGGTGATCGCCTATATAATTGTACTTTAGTGAGGCTAAACAGAACGTTCGGCTTGTATGGACCATATCAGGACCACTTTTGTATTATGTGTGCTTCATGTCTTGCCAGAGATGATTCGAGAGCTTTTAAGAGTGCCTAGAGTGGTTCGGGTTGGCTCCGAAACCCGACCCAAACCCGCCCCGACCCGATAACCACTTTAAGAGTGCTAGAATTGGGGTACTGGCAGGCTCTATCATGTTAGTGACTGCATGCTTTTTGCCAGCAGGCATGGGGTAGTATTAACCCCTGTACGGAGCCGAGCCGATAGCTATTCATATATGCAAAAGCAACGGGGACGCATTCCTACGTTCATGCTTGGAATGCTACCACGTCTATTAAAAGCCACTCAATTCCTGCCATCTCCTTATTTCTCAATCAGCTTTACCTCTCACTCATTCGATAACAACTGTCCTGGAGTCTTTTAATCATGACATCCAATACCATTAGTATCCAGGAGATAGAAAGCCCCCATCAGCCTCCCAGAGACACTGGGATGATGTTTGTAGGACTCCAGGATTCAAACCAAAGACCGTCAATTGGATTTGTACGCCGTGTGCAATAAGTGGCAGGTAAATTATCTTCGTGTGATAGTGATAAAGGTGCTCTCCACTCGGTATGGCGATCATATCTGCTTGTGGAGAAAGCACCGCTCGTATCCTTTTCAGTCTAATCCCTTTCGTCACAATTTGCAAGGCACCCTTGGCCTGGGTCACATTCACAATGTACAGGCAATAACTTGTTCACCTAGAATATTTCGCCGAAACTCCGTTCACTAATTCTTCAAATCCACTTATGCGAGGTAGTAGCCGATATGATTGTGTCTCTCCATATGTTTCGGCCAAGAGACCGCACCCACTCTGGTGATGAAATAGTTTGTGTTCAGCGTTTTGGCCCCCTGATATTGAATATATATTGATTACCTCATGATATGCCAATGCACTAATAGGAGTCTCTCTCGTATAATAAATGAAGGGGAGCAAAACTGGCCCACCCCTTCCCCATGGGAGAAAGCTTCGTCCAATAATACATATTTCTCGGTGAAGTACCCAATTTTCTGGACATTATTACCCAATCAGGCTCCTGAGATTCTGCGAAGTCCAGATAGACATATTCCATCCTCGTGTTTGCCACAGAATCGCCCACAAGGCATTGCAGATCACTTCGTATGGCTTGAATGCTCGCTATTTTAGGAATTCATGACACATGAGCCTCAGCCTTGTGAAACTGCCCTTGGGAAATATAAACTCGCCAGTCCCGCCCTTTACTTTTACCCTTCAAAGTATCCACACATCACCGTCAAACTTAGTCACATTTACATACTCCCCCCAAACAAAATGAAGTTCTTCAGCACCATCACCCTCCTTTCCACAGCCTCCCTGGCCCTCGCCGAAGGCTAGACACCAGAGAAGCACACGAAGCCAATCTCGCAGCGCGAGCAGCCACCGTCTGCGGATCAGGATACGAACTGAACAAAGCAGTTCCCCTCCCAAAAGGTACCGACCCCAAGCAACGATTGGGCACTCTTTACACCTATATCGGCAAGGATAAGGGCTGCGCCATCCTCGACAACAATGTCGGCAAAGCACAGTACATGTACATAGGCGTGTGCGACACGAATGGGAAGCACTGCGACAAGGACTCCGGTACATTCAGCCAGTATGCGGGACCGATCTATATCAGTAACTTTGCCTGTGCACCCTTGGTCGCGAAGATGGGCCAGAGCTCGAAGAGTCTTTACATCGACTATAAAGATGAGTACGCCTGGGCGTGTAACTGAGGACCTGTTTGTCTATGGGCCCTGTTTGTGGGTTCGTTGGGTTGATAACTAGGGTTGGTTCGGGAATGTCTTTCATGTTTGTTTGACAATATGGCGGATTGTCATTTCGGAAAATGTTGCGAGTCCACTGCTGGTTGGGGGCTGGCATCGGGTTATTGAAACGCGTCCGGATGTTCCAATTCTTGCTGCTAGTGATACTCAGTGCTTGAAATGTATATGGCGAGCTTTGTAGCCTTAGCCCTCCTGCCAAGACTGAATTGCAAATCGCATGATGTGGATACCGTGCAAAATATCGAATATAACAGTACAAAAGAGTAAAAGTAGCCAAATGCTACCTCATAGTTATACCCCATAGAGTTATGGCTAATAAAGTATAGTTAGATTTCTAGTATTTACTTTTGATTACCAGTATTCTGCTCAGATATCTCGCGATTTAGCTAATGATCTGTATTTCTGTATGCTATAAAGAGTTAAGGATCTGGAGATTATCTGCGGTCGCTATATATAAGCTACTACGACTTCAACTGATATCAAAAGACTAGCTCTACTGTAGATCAATATCGGCCCAAAAAAAGCAAATTACTCCACAGACAGCCAAAATCAATCAATCAATAACAAGCATCAGAAGCATCCGATCGGGCCCGGTGTATGAAACCGGAATCATGCTGGCGACGAGACCATCTCCCCGATTTCTGACGTGTGTGTCTCTTCTATTGGCAGCGGCCAGAATACGAGCTCCACAATCCCCCGAAACCAACATAAGAACGGCCAATGAACCTTGGACAAAGGCACTGTGAGGTATACAGCCTCTTCTGTACTGTCTAGTCTTTCACTGCACGTCCTGGTGAGCGATGAGTATAAGAGGATAGATGTCTTGCTCGATTCACACTGATTCACAACGGTTTCTCTCATTTTCATACATCTGAATGCATTGACGAGACAAGCTTCTTCCACGATCCGAAGAATGGGGTGGTCACTGGACGCAATTATCGCCCTCACTACCTTACTGATCACCGGGCCACCATCGATTGTTCTACTCTGGGTCCATTTTCAAGGCTGCAGAGAGCCTGCTCCCTCTTGTCAGTTGTCATGTTTGTTGATAAAATGAAACACAGGGAAGAATACGTTACCGATAGCTAACTCAGTTGATTAGACAGAGACCAGTCTGAAGCCGCTCTGCTATGGACGGTAGAGAGTGAATATACTGGGTATAACAAGCAGAGTCTAGAAGATGGTCTCATTAGTTATCGCACACCACCAGGTTAAAACTCATAGTCCTTATTCGTCTTCGCGCTGTCTTCAAAGGAAATCTTTAGACGACTAACGGAATTAAGTAGATTCGATAGAAAGACCCATCATCTGTCGAAGAATCACTGCAAAAGTCTTCGCCTTTTATAGATCGGCCGGGAAGTGACCATTAATCTCCACTGCGCGGAAGACCATGATTGAGCGGACGCACAGAGAGGGCAATGCGCAATAGGAGAAGAATAGGATTACAGGGGAATTCCATCTCTTGTTTATATGGCTATCAGCGGAGTTAGCCGGTAACTAGGGAGGTCGGAGCTTGGCCGCGAGGTGATAAGCGATTGTATTAATATGACTGGCCATACCGGCAACTCAAGTTTCCACCGCCGCTCTTGGCACAACGCCGGCAGTTAGAAAGACAGCGGGGAAATTATGAAATGAGGGGATGCGGAGGAAAGATGTGGAGTTGGAGAGAGGTTGATTGCCGACGCTGAGGTTGCATTGCGACGGTCGCGACGGACGCGGTGGGATATATAAAGGATGGCGGATGTACCTAGAGGCATTTCAGTCTTGTCCACCCTCTCCTTGGCTACGTCACTGCCTGTCTCGCATGAATAGGGCCTGCAGAAAGAATTGTACTTCAAAATGAGAACCATTGCCTCCACGGGTCTCTCTCTCGGCCTTGCCTCTATGGTGAGCGCTGTTATGTATGGATACAACCACGTTCCTTTCGTGCCGGACACTGAAACAATTGCCGGTGCTTTCGAGAACGTCGACGACATTAAGCTCCTGTCACCAGCTTTTGTCACACCCGATGTCCGACTTCCTGGATTCTCTAACGGCACTCAAGGATCGTCTTCTCAAGACGACATGGGTGAGTGTATAAGATTGAGGGCGCACACTGGGTCATTGAGACTGACACATGGTTAGAGGAATTTCTCGAGCAACTGGCCGATCGCAACGATTACATGACCTATCGCACCGCTAACTTCACCTCAGAGGAGGGTCGGTCTTTCCCCTACATCCACCTCTCCTCCGGTCGCAGCAGCTTCCTTCGCCGCGATGACTCTGTCTCTAAAGTGCGCGTGTGGATCCAGGGCGCTGTTCATGGCAACGAGCCTGCAGGCGACGAGACCACACTTGCACTCCTGGGCAAGTTCGACGACGACCAGGAGTGGGCTGCCTCGATTCTCGACAAGCTGGAGCTCGTCATTCTGCCGAGGTATAACCCCGATGGCGTTTACTACTTCCAGCGCACGCTAGCGACCAACTACGACCCTAACCGCGACCATATCAAGCTTGCCCGCCAGCAGACGCGTGATATAAAACAGCTCATGAACAACTTCAATCCCCATGTGATAGTCGATATGCACGAGTACGGCGCCCCGACTCGTTATGGCGAGGGGCAGTACGTCCCAGGGTCCGATGGTCTGTACTCGGCCGCTAAGAACCTCAATATCAATGAGCGTATCCGCAGCCTCTCCGAGAAGCTCTTCGCTAAGAATATTGGCAAAGATATGGAAGCCGCTGGTCTTCGCGCCGAGCCATATGTGACTGGCTCTTCTTCTTCAGATCCCAACTTCGTCGCCGACTTCGCCGAGGCGGGCACTGATGGCAAGATTGGTCGCAATGCGATGGGCCTCACCCAGGCTGTCGTCTTCCTGCTTGAGATGCGTGGCATTGCTATCGCCGACCAGGAGTTCCAGCGACGCACGGCCGCCGGTCTGACCATGCTGGGCAGTATTGTCCAGACGGCGGCCGATAATGCCGACAAGGTTCTCAAGACTATCGAGGGCGGTATCAAAGAGTTTATTGCGTCGGATGACGACATCATCGTCACTGACTACAGCAAGACTGAGATTCGTCCCTTCACTATGGTCGACGTCAAGAATGGTAGCGTGGTCCACCCACCCGTCCGCTTCGCATCAACGACCCCTGCCCTCGCTAACCTCACTCGCTCCCGCCCTGAGGCCTACCTTATACCTGTGGCCTGGGCTGACCTCGCCGAGCGCCTCAAGGTGGCTGGTTTGGAAGTAGAGACATTGGACAAGCCGTTTGAGGGGACCGTGGAGGTCCTAAATATTACATCGGCCGAGGTGGACACTTCCTACTACGAGGGCGTGATTCGCGTGACGACGACGACAGAGGCAAGTGAGCGCGAGGTAAGGCTGCCAGAGGGTAGCTTTCGCGTGAGCACACGACAGAAGAATGCGGCTCTGGCGATGGTGGCGCTGGAGCCGGAGAACATTGACTCCTATGTGTCGTTCAATATTGTGCCAGTGGAGAAGTCCGATCAGTACCCTATCTTTAGGATACTGTCTTAGATATATATCTTCCGTTGGATGGGAATATATGGTGGCGACTGTAAGGAGCGAAAGAAGTGGCGCATACCCGCCAAAAGGCAGCGGCCGGACAGAACTGTTATGTGTTTTGCTGGGCACCTCGAATAGACTCCGTGCAACTCTTGAATTACGTTTTAGCTATTTGGAATATGAAATGTGTGGGAGGTAGAAATCCTCAGACCAGCTCAGGACTATTATACGCGCCATTAATTCACCATGTCCAGGTATGCGATACCTGGCATAGACCTTCCTAAACGGAGCGGGGTCTGATGCCCTCGAAATGCGACGTTTCCTCTATTACAGAGCTTTCCGTCGTGTAAAGATGAAAGTAGTTGCACAGCGTGTAGAGCTAGAATCGCATCGGGTCTTGGAAGATAGGTCCCAACTGCGTGGCAACACGAAAGATTTGGTGTTATTTACATGGTTGGTAAAGTAGCCAGATATTGAAACGTTTTGCTTCATGTGAGTACGCACACTATCAAAGCTTTCATCAATTGTTAGGATAATAGACCGCTTGGCGAGCAGGAAACATCGTGCAAGGATGAAATCCAGTTCTTCTGCAGAGAAGAAGTGAAGCGTAGACAAGCAAAAGACATGGTCTACTGGCGTATTATAGTGAGCCAGAAACCGCAACATGTCCTCGAGAATGACATCATCATACCATCCACCTTGTCTACACACGTTCAACATTCCGCTGGAAACATCTACTCCGATAAGTCGGGAGATACGATGTGCTTCTTGCTGGTTTCCACGGAGGATGTGACCTAGAACCCCAGTTCCACATCCAAGATCAAGAACGCTGCCTGATATGGTGCCTGCGATCTCCAATATAATGGAGCTGTTTAATTGCAGAGTATCGTACCACGGAGCTTCCTGGTCATGAAACTCTGCCAATTGCTGTCTCTTGTCTGCGCGCTTTTCTGGGTGATGAATGGAGTAGTTGGTAATAAAGATATTCACAGCAGCCCTGTAGCCCCCCGGTAGATCTCGGACGACGTCTTTGTCTTCAAATAGTGATCCCACGGGCAAGAAATACACAGGGAGAGGGTCCACCTCGATAACATACGCCGTCCCGTCTGAACCAACCCGCAGATCGACATCGCAACCCGTCCTGGTGGTATGCATTTGGCACGTCCGGAATGCTTCCACTGCCGTATCCTGGAGATGCCGATAGAGCTCGGGGGAGTTTTCTTCATCCAGAAGTTCGTAGGTAGTCCCAGAGTCGAACTTGACATCGAAGGTTAAAAATTGCTCCTTGCCAGGGAGTCTTTTCGTGTGTTTGACAACCTGGGGGCTCAGAGGTACAGGAACGTCGCCCATCGCAAGCACGGCTACTGCATACTCTTCCCCATCGATAAATTCCTGGACCACAAGGTCGCTGCTATTTCTTCCCGCAGCCTCACACTCTCGGACATAGCGATCTGGATCGTCTACACCCAGTGCTCTTGCCCTTCGTACGCGGGAATCCCTCATTTTACCATGCAGACGACGGATCGTGAATTCCAGTTCTTCTTCCGTGTGGCAGATAGAATGCTCGTTGACAAGCTGGCTTGCATAATCGATTGCCGGTCTGACAAATAAAGGGAAGTTGGTATTGCCCGGAACCGCCGGGGTACCCAAGCGTCTTGCTTCGACATAAAACTGGTACTTGGTCCGCTCTCTCTCGAAACTCCGGATGCCTGCAAATGGCAGATGCAGAGATTCTAGGTATTTAATTGCAGCTATGCCAGCGAAGTTGTCGCCAAGCATACCCCACATGAAGTTGATATAGAAGTCGAAGCCTTCTGCGACAGCGGCATCAATTTGAGCCTCTGCAGTGTCTTTTTTGATAAATCGATGCTCAAACGTGTGCTCGGCGATATATAGGCCAGGATCGGACCATAATCCTTCCGTGTCCTCGACGCGACCTTCTGAAGCGGAGTGCAGGACACAAATCTTCATTGTTAGCTGTTATTACTGCTGTATGATGATTTCTTGATTCCCAGGAAAATATGAGAGACTAATATGTAACGTGAAAAGATCGATTAAGTCTGGCAAACGCGGGGTGAGGTCAATGCGGGTAGGGTAGCCCAATCATGGAATCGACAATGTGCTGCCATATGTACGACTTACACCGTACGAACAGTAACACCGTATTGATTTGCATATAATATCTGCCTATTATTAGACAGGCTCGTCAAGGAAAGGAATAGAGGAGGCACCTTTCCGATTTTATAACGAAGGTATACGCAAGCTGTACCCTAATCAATCATGTCCCAACACGGCCCAAAGTCACAACTCCGAGCATACTAATTCGTCTCAGATTTTTTCCTCTTCGCAGCCGCCTTGGTCTAGATACATGGACAGAGAATAAAGCGGTTCATGGCCAGACGAGAATTCGATATCAGAGTTTTCTTTGACTTGAAGAGGTGCTTCCGATTATATTATATTATATTATATTTTTTTATTGCATGGCAAATATTCCCTCATTATCAAATTGTTGGTCATGGGGGCAGACCAAAGACTAGTACATACATATTCAACTCCTGTCGAAGAGCTAACACATCCACCAAAAGTCGCGAAAGAGACACCCTACTCAACCCCATACTGCTCCTTAGCATCCACAAAAGCCAAGTCCCCGAAACTAAAGCTTGCCAGCAACAGCGGCGCATCCCCAATCTCAAAGAAAAACTTATCCATTCCCCGAACCTCGGGATCCGGCTTATTACCATCGTCATCATCCGTATCATCCATGTATACCACGAGCAATCCCCGATCGGCCCAGTCTCGCGTCGTCACCACGATGAACGCCGTTGGATACCATCCTAGGTTCCCCTTTGCCTCGCCGCCGGAGATGGGAGTGATTTCCTTGTCTAGGTCGACATGAGCCTGGACGACGTCCTTGAGTGTTTTGCCGGCTAGGTTGTGGGCTTTTGGAGAGCGAACGATCGGATTAGGGCTGTCTTCGAGCCATTCTTTGTTTAGCGTGGATAGGAGCTTGGTTATCTCCTCTGGTGAAAGGTCAACGAGTGTGTACAGGGCGAAGGAGGCCTGGTCCCAGCTGTAGTCGCCGTAAACACAGAGAGCGGGGCAAGTGGGCGGGAGTGAAAGATCTAGGGACATGCTGTTGGCTGGCTGTTTTGGCTGGAATGTTTGTGAGGGGTTTATTTGCCAGTTTTCGACTCCAGGCTGCTGTAGATTGAGGTCGATGCTTTGGAGGTGGAAGTGAAGAATTACAACAGCTGACGTCGTAGAAAATATTGATGCATGAATGCATGGACTGTAACCTGAATTTAGTTGGTCAGATTTAGGTTGGGATCAGGTCAGGCGGCAGCGATGGGGGCCAATAGCACTGCTTTCCGACCGCTTCAACCCTAATTGTTGGACTTCGTCTGTGTTTTGGCAGTGAGGCTGGCGATGAGATCATTATTTCTCCTCAAAGCCAATTGAATCGCCATGATCATGCATGGGTACTGATTGGCCATTGTCAAAATGCACTCAGCTCTCTTCCGCGCTCCGTCTTAATGCGTAAGCATAGACATTAGTACCGAGGTTATACCACGAACCCCTGCAAGGGCACAGCCTTACTGTCCTTTCCAGGGCGTATTGCTTACCCTCTCCACCTCCTTTTTGCTGCGTTTTGCTTTTTCTTTCCTCTCGGCTTCGATTGCCTGTCGCTTATCATGGCCGACTAGCCCAATAGGGCAATTGTCGTGCCTCTCAATGTAACCCTCTTCTCATCGCCGAGCCAGTTTGGAGCCTCACACGCTGTTGTGTTTGGGGTCCCTGACGCGCGTATTACTCCTGCTTAATAGAGACAAATATATGCCTCAGTTGATCTTCCAACAATCTGCGCGTCCAGACACCCCCTGATGAACGACCTCGCCGAAAATTCCGGCATCTGACTCAGCCAACATAACACTGTAAGCCATGAAAGGGCAGTCATGGAAGGAACAATGAAACCGTGGACCCATAAATATGTAGCCAAGAGCACAAAGGAGCCCCTATTCAATACAATGATAGATGCAGATGATCAGCGTCTTCGTCCCAACATGCAATGTAGTCATCAATAGCTCAAGGCGCCCTGCAGCATGAATGTTACACCATTTCGAATCTTCAAGTTAGCGCACATGCAGGACCGTCACTCTGTGAATCTGTGATCAGGTCTATACACAGCCGCGTGTAGGTTGGGCTGAGTGAGAACGGGTTGTTCTCCAAGGGTGTCTGAGCTGAGATAGAAAAGTTGTAGAAGAACAGGAAAGACATAAATAGGGCCCCGACTGCCAGCAGCAACGAGATCAAGAAGCAGTACAAGGTTTGCAAATTTCATATTCGCAAAGAAGAATTCATCGCAATCGCAAAGCCGACATCATGAAGCCCTCCCTGCTCTGGCTTGGTCTTTGTGCCCTTTCACTCGGCTCACCAGCCCCCGACACTCAAGCTCCAGACGCACAGGTGGCTGCTGCCACCGCGAAGATTCTGACTTTTGATTGCTCTGATGGACAAGTCGGCGGTATGTCACCCAATCCTCTACCAATCTCCGAGGAGCAGGAACTGAGAGTCTAACTGTACGCAGATACATGCTTGAATATGTGCTACGGTATGCTTCCCCTTTCATATATAGGGAACAAAACATAACCTTCTATGGCCAGGCGCAAAATGCAAGAAACTCGGCACTACGCTTACCTGGGATCACCCGAATAAATCGACCGAGGGTAAACGTAGCCGTCTAGCAGGCTGTGGGTCCGGCAACCGATGCAGCAAGGCACCCTATGGCAAAGGGTACCAGTGTGACGAGTTTCCGTTCAAGTCTGTCAAGCAGGCAGACAAGGGCGGTCAGGTGAACCGATGCGTCAAGAGCCACTACAACAGCCGTTCGTTCAACCCGACCTTCGTCTTTGCGAAATAGTGGTTAACACAGTACAGGTCAAGGGCACGTCCTGCAGAACTTCTACTATTCTCATGGCGAGTTCAAGAACAAAGGGTGCAAAGGCAAGGCGCCGTGCCAGTTCAGAATTGGCTTCAAAAGGTTTAGTAAATACAAGTACTGCAAGAAGAAGCCAGACTGCAAGAACGACGGGAACGAATACACCAAGAAAGGACCAGCGAAGCGTGAGGAAGAGGTTGACACGGGTGGCTACTACCGTCTTGCCAGTGGTGATGTTATCTTTGTTCCTGATGGAGCACAGGTGGGAGATTTGGTCTATCAGGCTACCTTTTCTAATGCCACGATCGGTGTTGCGGACATTGATGGCGTGGAAAATGAGAGTGATGAGGGCGAGGGCGACGAGAGCTACGGTGACGACCCATTCGAGGTGCAGGAAGATCAGATTGTTGAAGAGGTTGCGGATTATGAGTAGCTATTGAATTGTTTTTCATAGTCAGGTGGTTCAAGAGCTACATCATGGAAAGCAGGAGGGTCTGTACTAGTATATCAGACGTGCCGACGGACGTACATATATAGAAACAGAGTTTAGGGTAGGCATCAAACATCGTTTTTTAGTATTTTAACTGACCTCCGGAACCGCACTAAACTACCTCTCGTCTCGGCTCTGTGGCCTAACACACGGTGCACATAGACCCTCGGGGTCGTTCCCTACCCAGACACATTTCATAGGCCGGAGCCCCGTGAGTCTATCCATGCAGCCAGTAACCTGAAATTTTCATCATCATCATCATCACCATCATCATCATTGGAACGCGAAGAGAACAAGCCATTATCCAAGGATTCCTTATCATCTATATCAAAGCTAAAAACTCAAAGAGGCATAATAGTGAAGTGGCCTAGTTTGTCGACTCGACGATAGGTTATAAAACCTGTTTGACGTGAAAGTCACTTCATGCCTTTTGCGACGTCGAGGCGATGGTCGTTATTGCAGCACCTCCCTCACCCGATCTCAAAGATACAGAAAATACATCATGGCCATAACGGTGACATAAGCCGGGATAAGCAATAAATGTCCACGATACCCAAGAGGTGCAAGCCTTTGACGGGCATTGTATTGTCGGACTTCCTCGCAAGGAAATACTGCACGGACATCACTTGGATGAGTGTCTAGCGTAACATCGCGAGGGGGATAGTGAGGCGGCCAAACCACGCACCGAAGTGTAGCCATGTGGCAGGACAGTGTGATGTAGCATATGAGGGTAACAGGAGGGAAGAGAAGGGTAGTCATTGCGTGAATCTGCCAGCGGGAGTTGCTCTCGACCGAGGCTATGGCGGAATACATTACTCCAGCCAGGGTTCCGAGCGTGAAAAGTAGACTAAAGCCGACTCCACAATCCCATAAGTCACACTTCAGCCGTGCAAGTCGCGTAGACATGTTGTTGGCGTTGTTCCAATTGTTCTGGGAGTTTCCAGTCACTAGACACCTTCCGCCCTGTGACCCGAAGAGATGAAATCGAATAACGGCGCATAGTTGATCTTTCGAACCGATCAGACATTCACATCAAAATACTGTCATATGAACCAGACTTACCAGCACACATCCAAAAATCGTGTAAGTGGGCGAACGTTGGTAGTCGGAATCCCGTTGCTGCCGCTTTGAGCCATTCGTATAACCACACAAACCCAAAGGTGACCAGAGATATTGCAATTTGAAGTCTTAGGAACATGCTTGGCACTAGAGGTTTCCCTGATATCAAAGCAGGAATGATCATGGCACACCCGACACTGTGGCTAAGAGGCCCCCAAAGGCACGCAAGGCCAATCCATGTCAGAAGGGACCTCGAGGCAGGCGGAATAGACTCCTTACATGCCGCCCAAGGAGTGGCGATCATTTGGGTACAGCCAGTCACCCACCGTCGCCTCTGCCGGACGTGGCCTTCCAAGGAGGTCGGCACGCGTCCGAGCTGAAGCATCTCTTCCAAGGCTAGGATGCGTTTTCCATGTGCTGGTAGTATTACTGATAGAGTAACATCCTCGATTTCGTTGATTGTAGGAAAGCCCCCCACTTGGACCGCCAATTCGCGGCGCATAACAAACCCAGAACCGGTTGCTATACTTGACCCCAGTTCGTTTCTTCCAGGGAAGATAATTTCCCGGCAAAACGCTAGATCTTGGCCAAGCGGATCTCCGAGGGGCAGGTTATAAAAGTCTTGTTGTGCACTCACGAGTCCAACAGTATCATCTTTCAATAAATGGGGAAGCGTGGCGCGCAGGAAGTTCGGTGCAGGAAAAAAATCTGAATCGAATCCAACAATGAATTCGGGTGGCTGTTTCATCTTCCCATGGATGTCAAAGAGGGCGTAGTTTAGGTTTCCTGCTTTGGCGAAGACTTTTTGGTTCGGCTTAATTCCTCTACTATAGTAGAGGAGATTTGGCCAAGTATTGCATAGCTTCTCCACCCACTCTCGCAACTGGATTGAATTCCCATCGTCCAGAACGAGAACCCGAAATGAGGACTGGGGGTAGTCGATGACACAAATAGCGCGTATAGTATCAAGAAGCATATCTAATGGTTCCCCACAGCACGGCAGCAAAATGTCTACTGACGGCAACGCAGGTTCCATTGCCAAATGAAGTCGCTTTGTAGTTTTGCCAGGATTTCGAGGGAGCTCTATGCCCAGAGATTGATCTATAGTCATGACAAATTTACAGTTTCGTTAGACAGTCACGGCACCCCTGTTGATATTTCCAATAGAACAAGAGGCATACATGAATAAAGGAATTCAAATATGAAGATCATCCACATCCAGCAATTTGTCTGAGCTGCAAATACCAAACATGACAAGCGTGTGGCAATATAGACTGTGAGAAATAACAATCCTGCTAGACGAACGCGACCAGCATGTTTCTGGGCGAAGGGTGTGAAGGCTGTCTCCATGGCCACGGATTATACATAAATATCTTGTCCAATCCGAAATTCATAATCAGAGAAAACTAGGACTTGAACAGCGAGATGTTGTGGTGGGTTGGTCAGACTCAGCAGAAACAGTCGCAAACCCGATCACAGCATGGGAGAAAACAAGAGTGTGAACATGGAATTCGTGAGCTGGAGGCCTCAGCGCAAAATATAAATCGATATTTGGGGTGGGGTCCTCAGCCATTGAGAATGGGGACATATCACATTGGAATGCTTGAAATACCCCTTTGTGGACAACGGCAAGGACAGCTCACTGGATATCCACAATCTCACATAGCCGTAACCATTGAAGATCTCGTCCGTATGCATATCAAGGTTTAGTGGCGGGGCGTTAGTTCGTATCTCGGAAGGGATAGTACGTGGGACTATTATCTTGAGATACTATTACCGCCAACTTTAGATACTGTTACTCCACTTTTCAGCTGAATGCCAGCATGCGTATCGCCGAAATCAGGGTTATGTTGGGTCTCACGTGCTGTCTTTAACTCGTGTTTAGGTATAGAACTGCACATGGATCTTCTGCGTTAAGCATTTCCCAAAGAATAGTTTAAGCTCCGCTCATAATCAGGTAATGCCCATTTGACCATCCACTCCAATTTTAGCACCTCTTCAGCAGTCAGCCGCTCTTTCGGCCCGAACGACAGCATTTGGCGCATCAAATCCAGGAATGCAGCTTTTTCGTTTTCTTCAAACTCGTCACCCACTTTCCGTCTCCACTTCTGCACACCGACCTCAAATGAGTCCTGAAGCGGAGGCCATCTATTTTCTCTATAAGATTCCGTTGGAGACCCCTCCTCATTGAAGAATCGGGATTGTCCTTCCCACTGCCGCCACCACCCCGAAGGCATAGGTCCAAGTACATCAATGGACTGAGATACTATCTCATCCTCATGCACGAAATCGGTGCTAAAAATCGCTTTCATTCCCACGATCTCCCAGATTGCCGGAGCCAGACTCCAGATATCGGAGGGATATGCCAGGGGGGTGTGCGGTTCGAATTTGGCTTCTGGAGCTCGAAACGAGGGTGGCGTATGGCAGTCTTGCCCAAGACGAAATTCTGCAGCGGGTGAAAACGCCTCACCCAAGTCACTCAGAAGCGGGTGCGCGTCAGATAACGAGAACTCTTCCGCATATTTCCCTAGGAACAGCGGCACCACCGACTTAGCTGGGACATTAGGGGGTAGTGGCTCCCCGTCATCGGGTGATAGGGACTGTCTCAGGCTTGCCATGCTTTTCATATAATTGCTCGATGGATAAGTTATCGAAGCTAGACGGGAGTTTGACCAAAATGTTGCCTAGATGAATATCTAAATCCACAAGTTTTAAGTGTCAGTTTACTGATATCAGACCGGAGTGGATACCGTAATCGCATAACGAACCTCCGTGAACATAACCTTGAGAATGTGTATAAGCCACGGCCTGCGTGAGTCCATATGATAGTGCCCGAGCAACGTCGAGGGAGAAAAGACGGCTAAAGGAAATCTCTCTGAGGTTGCATTGAGCAGGGTTCACCGTGTAGCACGTATGTTTTCCATTTGGACCCTGCACTTTGAATTCGTCCAGGAAACAAGGTACTGAACCACGCCCCGGGTGTACAGGTGAGGATGACGGAAGAGGAGCAGACAGAGTTTTGAGGACTTTTGCCTCACGTGGAAGCGAGTTTGCTATATTGACCTTGACTGCAACGTATCGCTTTAGATGAGTATCTAAAGCAAGTCAAACCGTCGAATAGCCCCCAAAGCCAAGTTTGTCTGCAATGTGGTATCTGTCATTTAACACGTCCCCGACCATGATGGGATGGTCGCCCCCAGGCTGATAATCTTCCAGTGTCTCTACACCCTTGATCCAGTTGTACTCGATGCGATGGTTCTCGGCCATCGTGGAGTCCAGCCGCGCCCCTGGCATGAGTTGTTGAGGGAAGGAAAGGGATTGGAATATTGCAATTGAAGGTCTACGTGAGGGGAGCGGTACACAAAACAACACAGAGTTCGTGATTCTTTCCAGGCAGCGGGCCATGGTATATCGGCGTAATCGTTCAAAGACATTGGTGGAGGCGCCCTAGAAACATGAAAACGTAGACTATCCTAGAGTTCACGTCTGTAGTTTAGTCAACTAGCCCCCTAGATTAGTCATCTGTAACTAGACCTGGCCTGGACTGGAAACTGTGAAGTTAAGCTGAAGCGTTTGCTATGGCACGATACTTAACTACAATCATATAGATGATTTTTTTTCTGCAGCTTGCTGCGTAGAGTCTATAGTACACCGAGTTGGTTTGGAGTCGGGGCGAGTTCGGGTTTTGTGTCTTATGCAAGGCTTATCGGCGCTTACTGCCCAAGACGTACCATATCTGTCCAAGGGTCCACGATCGGTTTCTCGATGAGACGTAAGACCGACGTTAATATGATCATTCAGGGAGGACTTGGACTATTTAGACAAAGTAGGAGATATTATGGGTTTGTCATGGAGCAAGGGTGAGGATATGCTATTCTGCTCCTCATATGGCTCTACGAATTAACGAAAAGGTATGCGTATGTAATATGAGCTGCTAATCTACGAAAAGGACAACTATTTATCTCTACATCGTAACCGCTAGGTATTGAATGACAATATCGTAAAATGCACATAAACCCAGGATATCCAGACGCCTAACAAGAAGTCATCATACACAACGCCCTAGAATATCCGTGTAATGCTTGGCTTCACCCACATAGCTTCTCGCATCGATGCGAATCCCGCCAAGTTCGCATTTTCTCCACGTCCCACCCGGCAGAGAGCCGCACTTCCTGCGTAGGCGGCTTACTATGGCCCAGTCGCATTGTCCGCACAAAGATACAATGGCCGGAATGATCGTAGGTATACGACAGGCACTCTAGATGCTCATGGCACGCAGTCCGGCAGGCTTCCATCGAGACGTGTGCCGGCGACTCATTGGGCTCTCTGAAACCACCCCAGTCCCCGTTATCCCAGTCGGCTTTGCTTTCGAAGGTCCCCATGCGCGTGTATTCAAACAGATCCGCGTATAGTAAAGGTTTCTAACAGTCGCAGTTAGTTGTAATTGACGGGAAAATGGTTGCTATTGGACAAACCTTGCGATCACGTTGGTTTTCCCAGTCGATCAGTCCCTTCATGTCTGACAACAAAGTCTTGTGCATGCTGATGACCGGCTGGCACCAATACGCATGGTCGAATGGGATGCTATGAAGCGGATGTGGGTTAAACATAGGCCACAACCCCGACAGTTTGACGCCCTTCTGGTACAGCGCCCAGCCCAGCACGGAGTCCCCACAGCAGTCGCCCTTCACTATATCCTCAAACTGCAGACTCAAAGATGGTTCGATGTATTCACCCATAGAACCGTGACGCCTGTGCACCGCCTTGTTCATCGCGCCCCCGGAAAGAACAAACCCTGCGCCACCGTACGCAAAATACATGGGCTTTCCTTGGGCGATCTCCCGTCCGGGTGATGGCGACCCGAAATACAAGGGCTCCGACGGGTCGTACTGATCGAGGAGGCGGAAGAGATTGTCCCAGACGTAGTAGGTATCGGACTCCAGGAAAACATACCACTGCGCAGTCGGGTTCATCTCATGGGCGCGTTCGACCATGGGCAAGAACTTGAAGCGATCCAGATGCCAGCCTTCGTCGCTTCCCACCGCCTGCTCATCTCCCCGCCTCAAGGCCTCATAGGGCTCAAGGTCCGTCACATTGAAGCGGAACGATTCGGGAAGTGTCGCGAGGATGTCGTGCACGCGATGGCCATTGAGCTCGCCTTCGCGATCGGAGACGATGAGGAGGTTCGGAATACAGCGGGTGACGGTCGAGATCTGAGCGTCCACACGATCGGCCGGCTCGGACGCCCCGATCTTCAGCACGACCTGGATACGTGACAGCACATAGGTGGGGAAGGAGTCACAAAGATGGTCATCATCAGCGCTGGAACTGGCGGTGAACTGATGTTTAGGAGGAGCGAAACGCGTGGTGGTTTCCCATTCCCAGTAGTCTGCTTCGCCTTTATCCTGGCCGGTGGCATGGTGGTAAAGGCTTGTTGGGTGTAGGGAAGTATCAGGCAGACTGATCTTGAGCACTGAGGCCACGATCGCCACCAGCAGGATGAATATCAGTAGATTCGTGGTTTTGCGGGACAAAGTCTTCCGCGCCATCAGCTATGGTGGAATGTCGAGGGATTATATATTAACCCCAATATAACAAAGTTCAAGATAAGACCAAAAGTGATCGGCCTAGCTCCATCCACTTAGTATGAATCAATCAAATAAAGAGGCAAAACGTCACTTAATGTGCTGTTGCACGTTTGGTCACATGGGAAAGAATTTACAATATAGAAGAATTATCCACCGCGACCATGGTACAATAGAAAAGACGACCGGAGAAAGTGTCAGGAACCAAAAGAACAGGATAGGTGGCGGAGAAATTGATAAAGGTGGGTTAACTTAGGTTTAAAAGTCAAATCTCCAGACCCGGCTAACGGACGATAGCGGGCGAAGAATCTACTGCTCCATCCCACTTATCTAAATGGATTAAGCCAACATGAAGAGTTAGTTCCTGGGCCTGAAAATTCAATTTCATGGTAACCGTGGGGGGGTTGGGCCCATTGATTTACGTAGGGAAAAGTGACTGGTGGCGATCCATTGTGTCATGGTGGACCCTTTTTAGCAATATCAGAACGATGGAAAAGAGTAGATGGATTGTGATCATTCCGTTACAGTGAATATTAAGAAGTCTGTCACTGTTGCAGCATTTCAGTGCTCTTCGCATGGTAAGAAGGGGCTCACCCTGTCATATCGTTCTTTGGCGGAAAAACCCTGGCAATATGACAGTTGCTATTGGAACCAAAGTCAATCATCATGTCAGAGAGAACCAGTGAATCAGCCCCAAGCCCCTGTTATAGGCCAGCTGGAGGTCCACTGCGGAACCTCTTGATGGGCCATTAAGCAAATGAAGTTCAGGGTCCATCACCTCACCTGCTGCCAAGAGCCCTAGCGGCAGACGGTCACTGGACCACTTGCCAGGAATTAACACTGTTGCCTGAGGCGTGTTGTGCCGTGTTTGCCAAGAGCGTCTGCTGCTCTTTATTACGTACCTGGGCGATCCTGGTGTCGCGTCGAATATTATATCAGACAAGATAGACACCGCCGAACAGAATATGGACAGAAGTACTCCGTAATTGTCCACATTTTAATCAGAAATATCATGGACTTTTGTTTTTCTTTCCTCTTTATCGTCTAGCGTACACATTAAGAACAACTTTTCTAGCCTGGTCACATACACACAAAGAATCTACACCTTTTGCCTCGCTGCATTTGCGAATACGTTAGACATGAGTCGTGATCATTGCCATTGCAGCGCTGTCTGGTATCAAACTCTTGGTCCACTGGGCTAGGTCAAGCTGGACATGCAGAATGATGCCCCGGGTAGGAGGTGCGCCTAGAGTGCCGAGTAGCCCCACAGGAAGAAACCATGGACCATGCTGCTGAACCACAAGAAGCTTTGAGAGTACACACGTGCTCTAGCACTGTTATACCAACTGTTTATATTGACGTTGAATTGTAGCGTCAAATCGGTTGATTGTTTCGGCAAATTCCGAGGGCTGCACCACGTGGGAGATGGCCGCACGTGAGTGGTGGACGTATCACAGTCCAACTTCAACTCATAATTTATAAATAAAGCCACGCGCACAATGGCAACAAGATGCTATCAGTGTACGAAGGTCTTCTAGAAATGATTGCACTCCTTTTAACCCTCCTCTCCGGGACGCCCTCTTTCGCGTCTCGAGATACCTTCTATCCGCCCCTCAACCACACCACCTTCATCACCAATGCCTCCCTTGGCACATACGGCGGCATCTACAACGCGCCGGCCGACCAAACCAGCCCCTTAGGTGATGTATACAACTACTGCAGTATGCCTCATCCCACCGAGGATACATACTCACTACCACCTCCCGTTGCCAATCACTCCGTTACCGCTCGCCTCGTTTATCTTGAGTATCTCCAGCGCCATCAGCGTCGCACTCCCTATAACATTCTTCCAGGTGGTGAGGTATGTCGTGGTTTACGGTAGCATTCTCCAACTTTTGCTGATTGTCACAGAACCAAGAATACAACTGCGACAACATTCATCCCCACCTCTACGCAGCACCAGCTTCTCAGGGGACCCTTCCGGCGACCGTCTATGGTCAAGCCTACTCCGACCCGTCCAACCCATTCTTGAATAGCTACGTCAATGGATCCTGCCAGTATCCGCAGCTTACGATCGGCGGCCTTCTAGACGGTTACCAACACGGTCGCGATCTCCGCGCCGTGTATGGCGACCAGCTCGGCCTGATTCCCGACTCGCCCGAGGGGAAGGTCTGGTTCCGCTCTAGCTCCTCCGCCCTAACCCAGGGCTCAGCGGGCGGTGTCCTCCGTGGAATCTTCCCCGAGCACTCCGGGCCAATCCCGCTCCACCAGCAGGCCTCCAGTATTGACACTGTCGACCGCGGCTTTCCCTGTTCCGCTCGGGACACGCTGCTCTCATCTATTCAATCCACCGCGGAATGGAACGAACATCTATCCGTCACTGAGCCACTACGCACGCGCTTATCTACCATGTTTAACGCCACTGGTTCTTGGACTTCGACCTTTGACCACTTCGCCGACAATTTCCAGGCCCGTCTATGCAACGGCTACGAACTTCCCTGCCGCGTAGGGGATGAATCCGACTGCGTGACAACCGACCAGGCAAATGAGGTTTTCCGCGCTGGCGACTGGGAATGGAACTACTGGTGGCGGACCAACGCGAACGCCACGCGATACATCCAACTAGTAGAGGGACTCTTTATCGGAGAAATCGTGCGGAAACTGGAGGCCGTACAACAGGCCAGGTCCGACTTAGTGTACAGCCATAATTTCGTGCACGATGGCGATATCGGACCAATCCTTGGTGCGTTGGGGATCAGATCACTTCGCTGGCCGGGAATGGCATCGAACATTGCTATTGAGATTTGGTACGCTGATTCCTCCTGTTCGTTTCTTGTGATCGACCTTAGCTAATCAGACAACAGGGAAACCTCCGAGTCGGAATTCTACGGTAGAGTTCTGTACAGTGGATCTGCGATTGAGACCATCCATGGTACCCTGGACTGGATCCCGTTGGCTGCGTTGATCAACATCCTGAAGCCGTTCATCCCCGATGATATTATCTCGATGTGCAACTAATGATGATTATTCTTGTATAATATTATACCATGTGCAACCGAGTGCATCAATCAGTCATCACAGCAGTAGCAATAAACCCCATCTGTGCAGCACTGAGGAAACCGTCCATGACAACACACCGCGTGTGAACAAGGGGAGGAGCATGTGTAGCAGCCTAGAATGCTCAGTTCATCTCCACAGCTAAGATGAGTAAAGACGTAACGTACGGCTCTCATCGGTCCCGAGCCCGAGAATACTCTGCTCCGACTTCAAGGCTGGGATTTTATGACCCTCCTTTGATGTCGTTCGTAGGGCTGCATTTGTTAGCATATCCGTTCCATCCCCATCAGAAGGTAAATAGTACAGGTGTATTGATGATGCACCGCGCTCGCGACAGAGACGGTGAGGAGCACCGTGGTGATAGACTTTAAGTTCATGGTGGATGGTAGGATCTCGGTGGGTTCCAGATAACGGAGACACAAAGAGGTTAATTCAATCTACGTTCTAGCTCGAAGATAGTAGGGACGATTTATACGTATATGTTAGAATCAGGTGCGGATGTCATCTGCTGTTGGGGTTGGGTGTCATATGCCCTAAGCCATCAGCTGATCACGTTGCATTCCAAGACCTATCCTTGTGCTTGTCGCAGTCCTGTCATGTTTATGTGATAAATGATATTCCATAAATGTCTATACAAGTTAAGTGCGACATGCAGATAGAAATGTAAAAGAATCATGATAAATACAAGAACTGGTGAAAGAAAAGAATATGCCCGGTTCTACCAAGGGTATCCAACAAGACAATCAACCATGCTACACCGTGCTCACAACACCCGAACCACAGATCTAAATGAGATCTAAGCAAAAGGTCTAGCTAATGTGGAGAAAATATAAAAGATGTAGGAAAGTAAAGGACTGATCTGGACTCAGGTTCTTCTCCGAGGTCTTAGTCGTCTCTCCCATCGCCCTGTCTGGGACGGAGCTCCTAGAATTCTATTAACTAGCCGTTGGAGATGAAGTTCCCGAGCTAATTTCAATGCAGTTTTTCCATTGGCGTTAACAGCCTGCCGTTCAGGATACCGATCCAGGATCCTATTACAAGCTTCGCAGGCGACGTCCATGATCATTTGCTCCTCGGCTGACAGTGGACGAGGGCGCCACCGTTGCTGATTCTGGACAGTACCATCTGGGTTACGTGCTGGGGCTGGCAGATTCTCGTTATATATGTGGCCCCATGTACTCGTCAGTAGTGTGTGCAACGGTGTCCCCTGCGCGCTCCCAGCACCGGAATTGACATCGATATGACGAAGGAGCTCCTGCAGAATATCCAGATTCACTGGCCTTTGCCTACAGGCGAGGTGGAGAGCTGTTTCTGCGATTCCAGCGATATGACCCACGTCGACGCCGCGTTCAATGTAGAGTTTCACGACATCTAGTTTCCCAGACTCTACAGCCGGGAATAACGGGGTGCGACCTTCGGAGTCGTAACTGTTGAGGCTGGCAGCACACTCACGACACAGTACGTGTATCAGGTCCATTGCATCATCGCGGAATGGTGCAACGTGCCATGCTCCTTCTTGTGAGGTCCGATGTGCGGCTAAAGCCAGCTTCAGCCCCATACGAGCCGCACGCTCGATCAAAGGAACCGGAAATGTCCTGACCACTTTGTAGGTGGCATCTGGGGTGATATTTGGAAGCAGTATTCTATGCTGTTGAGTCCGGTTATAGTGGTCAAAATGATCAAGCAGCCTTTCATACCCATATTCATACGTTTTGTCCCCGGTAAAGGTCATCAACCAGTTAGGAGCGCTAGCCCGAATTCCGGTATCCTGTCGTAGAACATCTTCGTCAGGCTGTGCAGCGCAAAGCAAATCGAAGCACCTGTCTGCTCTGTAATGAACCGCCACAGCGAGGGGACTCCAACCACACTTTGTCCAGCATTGAGGTGGTAGCCCGCACTCCAGCATAAACTGCAGTCGGTCGTGACGACCCAGCGCAATGCAGTGCGTTACGGGGTCATCGTCTCGATAGACAACGGGTCTTCGAAGATGGGCGTCCTCTTCCAGCTGTCGGAAATAGTTGTCATTGCGCCAAGTTCTCCATTCTTGATCGTTCGTGAAAACATAGAAACGGCTACTGAGGAGTAGCTCCCTTAGCCGGACCTGGCTGAGAACCCGAATGCCAGCTGACCGCATTTCAGTTACATCAATCAATTCCCATAGGTCCGTCATACGCACGAAGTCGATGATTCTTCTCATCACCTCCACCGGGACACGCTGCGTAAGGTAGTTCGGCCCCATTGCATCTTCGCGTGAGCTGGCAGATTCCGCTTCGTCAGCCATATTGCACAGCAGGCGGATTAGGATCTTCAGATTTAACTAAGAATGCTTAGACAACGAATATTTCTCGCTATTAATGATAGTATAGACTGACATGACTACATTTCAACTTGGAAACAGCCAGGGTTTTAAACCCATACAGAGCTTCGACATAGTAGGTCCTCCCCATTGATCTAGCCCTTGTACAAAGGCCACTGAATGAATAAGATGAAGGACAATGTCAGATTCATACTGTAAGAACGCAAATTGAAAAGGAAGACAAAGCGTCTCGTATATTATAGTATCTAACTGTGGCTTAGGAATGAATTGCATCGCAGCCGATTCCAACATAGGATTGGTTTGATGGTGATAATACCCATTATTAAAAAGGAGAAGACATATTCATGCGAAGCATGTCTCTGGAGGAGACCTGGTCAAACGCGCTTTGTTTTAAGTATAGCTCAGGTATGAATCTTTCATGCTTTGTGAAGAGAGCGTATTGAGCTTATAATGCTATTCTTTGTGAGTAGGATTTCGCCCAGCATGAAAGGTCTCTTTGATCATAATGTCAACATTGGATTCATTATTTGCCATATTGTAAGCTTGCTTATCGCAAAAAGCATTTATTTAGATAAGATAATCATAAGTCCATCAAAAAAAACAAACAGAACAAAGTATAGAGATTAACAGCGACAAGCATGGAAATGCAAACGCCTGTAGTGAAAGCAAATACAGAGAGTACATATGTCTAGCCACATGATGCAACTCATGCCTTCCAAGATGATCGGCACATAGGGCACTGTGCTTGACGGCCATCCTTCTGGCAAGCTTTTGTCCACTGCTTCATACAAGAGTTATGGAAATTGGAACCACATCGCGTCTTGCACCAGACAAGTACCTGGGTATGTCCTTGAAAGGGTCTGTTAGGGGCTAAGAGATGCTCTGTCGGGTTTTCCTCCCTGGAATTCCCACCGTTGGTACCACTGGGCCCTTCGCCATTGTTGGCCGAAGGTTCTGACTCCCCTAATGGCATTAAGCAAATGGCACACTCCCCTTTCACCTGCGCACGAATTACCGAAGACCCTGGAGAGCCCGTGGATCCAAGTCTTCCTGGAGCTGGCATTGCCGCGATGTCAGGATGTTGGGTCCTTGTGGTTCCAGCTCTTATGGCTGGCGACTCAAGTGTGTGTACAGTACTACCAGCCATAGTCGACAAGTATCCTTCCGCCCCCCGCTGCAAGGTAGCACTTGCAGGTGTCACGACCCTCATCGCGTGAGCTCCAAGAGCCCTTAGGCCCGCCGCTGTGACGCACAGTTCATCAAGCTGAGCGTGAAGCTGTCTCACAACTTGAGATGTGCGGTTCATCGTGTACCGCAGTTCTGCGCTAAGGCCGTCCTCCAGCCATAATCGATCCAGCAACGGCCTTAGACTCGTCTGGAAGTGTTCTATCTGCGTGCCCCAGGTCGCAATTAGATTGGGTGCTTGTGTCCGACGGTGAGCTCTGCAAAGAACTAGTGATGCCAAATCCTGAAGGTATTGATCGATGGGCCGTCCGACATGAAGATCCTCAGTGGCCCGGTCAAGGAGACTACGGGCAGCGATGGAATCCGAAGCGGGGATCAATTGATGGCATCGGCGTCCTTGTGAGGCGACGTATCCAGCACACCAAGGGTCTTCTTCTCCAGGATGGAGGTTTATGATATCAGCAACATGACGGAAAGGTCGACCTGTTGAGGGTATGGACATGGTGACAATCTTCTCGTTGAGGGCAGAGTAAAGTGGACACTTTGTTCTCGGCGTGGTGAGGTAACTATGAGCAAAAGGATATTTCCTGCTTCGAGAAGAGACGATCAGCCAAATGACTTGCGATGGGGAGGGGTTTTGAATGGCATTTTATATCCGATATATACTGACGAGGGGAAAGGCCATATTCACTTGCGTTGCCACACGATCGCAGCTGACCTCGGGACTGACCAGCATTGGCCCGTTCGAGCAACAGATTCTTGTGGCTTAGGATTAATCCCTGGTTTTAGACGATTCAAGAAACTGTTATTGGTAGAGAACATTAATGTGAGGAGAATTGAATATGCATTCCGGGCGGCACGAACCTTAAGTTAAATACTCGGCAGACATTGTCATAGGTTCTTCCTGTGCTAAACTGTGCACTGTTGACAGTAAATTCACCAACAGGTCTGTCAACAAAGACATGAAGGGGGTTCCCCCTTAGCTTTGGGCTTTGTGCTAATGTACTTGTACCTATTTGGTACTGAGCTGATTCACACGTGAAACCAGAAATAGGAGCCAAACCTGTTTCCATGACTGTTTCTGTGGCATGGACTATAGAATAAGGACGTGGCTGGGTTCTATTTCACAGACTGTCACGTTTAGATGGCACTCATTGTAAGGTTACATCTGTATTCTAGAGTTACGGTATGCTTGTACATCGGTTCGCCATCTTGCTATGCCTCAATCAATCCGTACAATGCAACAGCGATAGACTCATTGCAAAGGCATCATCCCCATAGACAAATACAAAAGGCGTTAGCCATACATACATTATGCCGATACCTGCTGCGCCCTTACACTTTCTACCACTGATCTTGAGACCAAAGTCTAAACTTCGCGTATCCCAGTTGGTTCTCTAAGGCTATACTGGGTGGAGGTGGAAAACGATGGAGATAATCAAATTAGTTATATGACATGGGAATGAGAGACATGTTGTTTGAACGATCATAAGGAGGGGACAAGCCAGAGTCAGCTGCATTAATAACAATCAAAATGAGATCACAGATATTTCAAGACGCAGTGATGTAAGAAGAGGCCTGGCAGTAAGCCATGTATTTTTGAAGCTCTTGGCTACCTTACTCGTCGCAGTCCTCTCCAGCGCCAGCATCAGCGCCAACACCGGCATTGGCGCCAACGTTTCCACCGACGTGTCCGCCCACATTGGCACCGACGCCTGCACCAGCATTACCAACAAGACCAGCGATACCACCGAGGATACCTCCAACATTGGCTCCAACATTGGCTCCAACACCGGCACCAAGATCACCGTTGGCACCAACGCCAGCGCCGACATCACCACCGACATTGGCTCCTCCACCAATATCAGCGCCAGCATTGCCGCTAACATCACCTCCAACGTTACCACCGACATTTACACCAGCATCCCCGTTAGTACCGACACCTGCGCCGACATTGGCTCCTCCGCTGACATCTCCGCCAGCTCCAAGATCACCACCAACGTTGACACCACCAGAAACATCTCCACCAACATCAGCGCCAGCGTCACCACTAGCACCAACATTACCACCAACATTAGCACCACCGGAGACATCTCCACTTCCACTGGCTCCAGCATCACCACTAGCACCAACGTCACCGCCGGCATTGACACCTCCTCCAACAGTGGTACTACCAGAAACATCACCACCAACGTTAGCTCCGCCTCCAACATCGGCGCCACCGCTAACATCTCCACTGCCAGTGGCACCTACGTCAGCACCAGCATCACCGCTAGCACCAGCGTTCGCTCCGCCGCCAACATCTCCTCCAGCGTTGGCACTACCACTAACGTCACCGCCAGCATTCGCACCGGCATCTCCGCTGGCACCAACATCTCCGCCAACGTTGCTCCGCCGCTAACATCTCCACTGCCCGTGGCACTCACGCCAGCTCCGGCGTCACCACTGGCATCACCTCCAACGTTAGCACCACCGCTAACATCTCCGCTGCCGCTGGCACCAACATCAGCTCCAGCGTCACCACTAACACCGGCATTGGCGCCTCCACTGACATCCGCGCCAGCATTGGCACCGACACTACCACTACCACTGACGCCTCCGCTCACACTTCCGCTGACACTGGCGCCTGCAGAGGCACTAGGGTCGGTTCCGAAGCTGACGCTCACGCCAATCCCATGGCCATTCTCACATTTTTCACAGACGGTGGGGGTCACACTAACAGCGCCGCTGCTAGTCGCGCTACCGGAAGCCTCGCATGTTTCACAAGAGGTAGTGGAAGTGGCCGAGCCGTGGTGGCCGAGCCATTCGATAAGAGGCAGGAAGGTACGAGACTGCAATCCAGCACGATCTCTGGATGGGGGCGTAAGTGGGGTACCGATTCTGCCGGGGACATTCGGCAGGGTACCATTGTACGGTATCACAGACACCGGGACCGCCAGGGTCGAGGTTGCCCCAAGGGCGAGGGTATAAATAGCGTAACGCATATCGAAAATGAACAAATATAGAAGCGTTTAACGAAAGATGAATGACTTTTTGTGGATTTTTAAGTGAACTGGAAGGAAAGAATGTTGATGCTGGCTGGATGAGAAGATAATGGGCGTGGATTGAAGGCCTTTATATAGACGTGACTTCTCCGTTTTTGCGCACTTGATGTCGCTATTCGGACTCCGATGGACCCATACTCCCTGATTGAGCGAACGATGAAACCATCATATCCATGGCATGGGCAAAATTAACTGTAGATCTGCGTTTCAGACAAAGACGCCATCTAGAGACCCAACCCTAGCGTGGGAATGTGCACGGCTGGACCGGATTGGTAAGTCAGACTTTTGGGGTACTCGGCTTTTACTTCTAGAACAGTATATCCGCTGGTGTTCGGTGACCTGCTTGTTTAATTTCTTATATTTGTGATCCCTTTTATTACATATAGACAAAGTATATTGACTGATGAGCATAACATTCTATCATGGAGATTGAGAAACAGCGGCTCTGCATTGACTGCTCCGAACAGCACATCTCTCAACCCGATAAACGCACCAAGTCAGCGTACCCCAACACCCTATCCCCATTCCGACGGACGGGAAGCCGTGGCCCCTAGGGCTCAAAGTCAGGGTTAGTGTCGGTTCAATCCAAAACCTGTCCATGAATCATGGCAATCGGCCATCGATCTGAAGTATAATTAGAAACTATGTTTGCATGAATCAAGCTACAAGCGCAAATAGAGTTCTCAATGTGGGGAAATATGGCAGCAAAGGAACAATAGAGAGAACGCATCTTCAATGTGAAACGGTCGGGAGGATCTTCGCTTTTCTTGTGCTAGGGCTACCCACGGTGATTTTACCATAATCGGTAAGCCGGGATTGCCGGCTAGTTTTCGGGTCGAGCTCTTGGATGTGCCCTGAAGGACTCAAACTCAATTATGAGAAGTTCCTTCCGATATCGCCGGGCCAGTAGTCTAGGACTATTTAGCATGATGAAATAGGCCTACCTCTTCTACTTTCCGGTCTATAGGAGAAGTATACTATGGATATTGAAGAGTTGAGATGTTTGGCAAGAGAGGAAGCGTACTCTTAGAACGGTTTCCTAGCAGCAGAATATTCTTTCACAGCCAGTGCATGTAGAGTGACTGACACGAAGCAATGATATTGCCGACACCGTATTTCGAGGCAAGACAACCCGCATGATTGAAACAGAACTAGCCCACACTGAGACCATTTAATGGGGCTTGATCTCTAGAGCTCGAAAGGTGCCCCCCTTTTTTTTAGTTTTCCTTTTGCTCAACCCTGTTGGGGACTCAAAAGTCGAAACAACTCTAAAAGATCCACCACAGCCGCTAAGGCCGATCTGGAGCAGGGACGAACGCATCATCGCCCACACGAGGGGAGGTTCGTCGACCACTCGGGAAGTGGATCAACCGTAAAATACCCGAACCCCTGGATCGATGCCGAGCCCTAATTTACCTGAACCACCCCAGGAGTTTCTGGTCCTACATTCCACAAATAGGATGATGATCCCCCAATGGCGTAAATCAGTCTGTTCCCAATTATAGGACAAGCCTTCTGCCCTGGTGCTTGTGGTTGGTTAGTCGAGATTGGTGGTTCGGGTTCAAGCTCGGGGTCGAAGTCCCACTCAATAGGGTTCGGACTAGGGGAATAACCATCGAGAACCGAAGTTGACCCGGGCCCAGTGTTTGATCAGGGATGGTTCTATTTTCGTACTACTATATCACGGAGATTGTTGCTCTGTATTTTGAATGGTGTTCTGCCGGTTCTGACACATTATGCAGTTTGGGAAATATGTGCCTGCATCTAAGTAGGAAAATTGCTCCCCTATCCTACAACTCGCGGCAATTTGTGTCTATGCTTCATGTGCGCGCCAAGCTGGTCAACAGTGCCTGAGTGAACTGCATCTTAAATGCGATCACGGCCCTGGGGCCTAACTCTTCCAGATCAGAGCCACACAATATCAGTGTGTCTTTGAATGCATTCTTCCGTCTCTAAATCGGTCTCAATCAGGTACTACATCACGGTGATCTGTAGGATTTTGAAACAATGACGGTCATAGCACTCTCCGCTTACATTCCGAGCACCTGATATGCACCGGAGATCCTGTAGGATATTCGATTCTTGCGGAATGTCTCAAGTATTCCATAAGTTCTAGCCCATCAGTACACCACTAATAAACGATCGGCTCATATACTCCATGTCAACAACACGGGATTTCCAGCACAATCCACAGACAACAGATCCATGGAACTGCACTCATGTATTCCGCTGAATAATACGGTCCAGACGGTTCTACCCGTCAAGGCATCACACAATATGTTCCGCGATAGATCGAAGACAGATGGCCCAGAACGCCCTATTCGGCATTTGGCCTATCATGCCAAATAGAAAAGTTGCTTCAGCCATCCCTAGAATAGAAAATGTTTAAGTTCTTCCATGGATGTGCTTTGAAAATCAAGGCCTGAGGGAGTGGCGGTCCAGAGACCTGGTATCCCTAGCCGCGCTTCGTGGAATAGTCCATTTTCACTCATTGATGAAGATCCCAGGCGGGATTCGCAAGGGAAAGGAAGGATGAAGCAATGGTACGAAGGATGCGGCCATGTCAAATGGGGTTGTGATCTGAGTTTCTCCGAGATCCTTCCGCTATGCCTTCTCGTCAGTAGCGGTCCATAGGAATAACCTCTTGCTCAACGAAGGAAGCTCGTATACCTGCCCGAGCCCGGTAAAGACAGTCGTTAGTCACATCGGATGTTTGAGGATTCAAATTTCTATACAGCGAAGGCCATAATTTCCTTAGTTTTTCATTGATCATGCTCTACTAATCCCATGGTGGTTTATACATTATATATTACGATCCTGATTCTGTATCTAGTTATAATGATGCTAGAAAGAATCTGAGAAAATACACAACATAGCGGGGAGATGTTATGTAGCTTTTACCCGTTTGGATACGCTGTGATATTTCATTGATAAGCCCTGTCGCTTCAATGATGCTTTGACATACCCAACGAACCAACCTTGTAGCCGTATCCCAGGGTAAGAAATCTTAGAAGGCTATCACATGTCCCAAGTGTGTCCCTGCTTACTTTTCCTGACGTTTTCGGGACAGAATCAGAAAAGTCAGACACGGAAAGCCAATATATATATATTTCCTATATAACATATTGATCCTCATAACAACGACATAGGCTTTAGAGGGAGAAATAGAATAACTGCAATAAATCGTGAACAGAACAAGTAATACGAGTTCTTTACTTTAATATGCTAAATTTATTTGTATCTTTTGGGAGACAACCAGCACTCGGTGGTGTTCATTGTCTCCATCCAGCATCGCGTATAGAACGCGCTATACCTATATAGGAATGGACACTTAACGCTAGATGGACTAGAAGATACCTAAACAGGTTAGACTGTCTATGTTTCTACAAAAGCTTAAGAAGTTGCACAGCGATGGAATGGAACAGCTAACTGGAAAAGTGTAGTCGAGCAATCCTCCAGGTCAAAATAATATTAGATGACAACTGGACACCCAACTTACTCACGGGTGCGATAAGTTACTCTTTCCACCGAGCCGAGGGCTTGATGCCTCACTTGGACCACACTACATGCCCATCATGTAAGGCTGAACATTAAACTAAACATTAGCTAAGACTCAATAAGACTTCTGATAAATCAGTCAAAATCCAGAAGCATTATCTCCATGAGGCATTTTTATGACTCTTAGTACATTCAATCTGACGCTATGGCAATTGCTCCTTCAGTACAAGCCACCCAGAAAGCTTGGGGGAAGCGCCAATATCGTTGCGCAAAATACCCCCTCCTATAAATCCCGACCGATTTCTTTGATTGTCCGTCATCTTGAGGTACACGTCCTCCCGGTTACATATTTTCCAAAAAAAAAAAAACTGGTTATTTGTCAGAAGATGTTGTATAGTGCGTGATATTTCCTAGATTAGCCCACTTGAGCACATATCATGAACCTGTAGGGAGCAGAATGTAAATTGCCATGATTATAGTCGAGCGGGAGTTTCGAAGCGCAATCTTGTTATCTAAAAATATTTTCTATAGATCTAAGAAGGGTTGGCATTTAAGGTCGACATAAACCTTTTTGGATCATTCGGAACTGGGGACCTAGGAGGAATCAATGTCCTGGTATTTTTCTGGGAGGATCTTGCTTTGCATGCGGGGGAAAACCGATTGCCCTTCCTTTTCTGGTTGCCCGCAGTATTGGAGAGACTTCGATCGTATCGGTAGGCGAGTCTTATCTCCGCCGTAGGCTACGGACCGTAGTCTAAAGAAACTCTTGGCTGTCGATGCGCAGGAAAGAATTGTCTGGCAACAACACACAACGGCAATTTCTGTGATTGTGTATGTTGGGGATTGACTGATAGGATGCTATCCAATGCGTCGTAACCCTTGTCAGAATCCTTCGATGTTAAAAAAAGCGAAAAGAAATTGTTACCGTCCGGGATTGATAACCCTTTAGGGTTGTTGGATGCCGTATCCGTATCCATATCTCGGCAAGTCTTCCGAGAATAGTTCCTCCCGCCAGTCTACGGACTCTGTACCCATAATCTCCTACGATGTCGACTTAGGCTCTGCTTAAAGCAACTAGAACCCCACAACGATAGTCTCGACTATCTCTGTCGGTGAGCTATCCCCTCATGGTGTTTCCCCTCACCCCTCACTAAAGAAATTATTTTCTTTCCGTCGTGGGTCTCATCTCATTTCCGTCTCCTTGCCTCATAGTTTTGTTTGAATGCGATGCACCTGCTTTTTTCAATAGCTGCTGTTTTCTTTCTTTCTTCCTTTGTTCTTGAGCTCTTCTCTCCTTGTGCATTTCTCAGTTTTTAGAATTGAATCGCTGAGCGCATTTCATCCACAATGGCTAGTACAGTTGGAAAGGTATGCTAAAACAATCCCTGACCTTCATTGGAAATTTACTAACGGTTAATAGACCATCACTTGCAAGGTACGAA